CATTTCTGCCCGGCCGCAGTCTTCCAATTCTGCCCGGCTACAGTCTTCCAATTCTGCCCGGCCGCAGTCTTCCAATTCTGCCCGGCTACAGTCTTCCAATTCTGCCTGGCCGCAGTCTTCCAATTCTGCCCGGATTAGGTGGGTTTCCACCACCCCCAAACAGATACCTTCCAATTTCATCATTCTTAGGAGGTTAGTCAAATAAGAAATTTTACAAATTCTATAACTCTAAATTTTCTTGTTACGTACTTTCAAATTTCTCATCCAAACCCTATATAACCATGAAGTCAAAATTCAAGCAGTAGACATATATGCATTAGAAGAATCGAGTACTATGAGTGCAAGGTGCTGACAACTAGGTTAAGTACTTCTGTAACTATTTTTCGTGAAATAAAGAACAATCACACTAACGATAAAAAAGTTTGACAAGTAGTAGCATCTAATGAGCATCATCCCAAACCCTAAATCCGAAAACAAACAAAAAAGAAACAACGACGGATGTATATGATATTGGAGTGAACGATGGGGTTTAAAAACAGCAGCAGCAACAGAAGCCAGCAAACCAACGCTTCCAGAATCCGCCATCCTTCGTCTTGGTGTCGGTAGGTCGATGAGGAGGAGGGGGAGGAGGATTTGAGGCTGCTGTTTTGGGACAACGAGCAGGTTGTTTTTTTGAAGCCCACAAGTACACAGGCTTTGGTGGTGTAGCCCACTTGTCATAAGAAGGTTCCGGGTATGCTACTGTGGACGCGGTACTTGAACTCATCTTTGAACAACAGGAAGAGGCTCTTCAAAACCCGATAGGTCTGATCTGATCAAAACAATGGAAAGAATATTGAGAAAATACTAATTAACGTGCTGGGTGAGTGGGTTATTGGTGGGATGAATTTATAGACAGAGACGAATTAAAGGAGGTGAGAATTGATGCCTTTTAACGCGTCAACTTGCTTGGGGGAGAAGTAAGTCAAGATTTCAAGTACCACTAGGACAAGGAATTCTACTACTATAACTATATTGGTACTTTTTGTTTTGGTTTTGTGTGTGTGTGGATGTTCTAGAATTACTCTTCTTCTTTTTTAATATAATCGAGAATCTAAATTACTTTAAAGTATTTAATATATAGAAATTGAGGGTTCTAACTTTAGTACAAGGGGCGGATTTACTGTCCTGACCAACTGACCTAACCCACGTATACATGTACTGAAATTACTTTTGTACACATAAAACCAGTAAAAAGGCCACTATCCAATAATTAATCTTCCTATTTTACTCTATCGTGTGAAAAAACGAGATGGTGTGATTAGTGAAGGGACTACTTCATCTAATTTCAAAATGTTTTTTAATTGATTTTTTTAATTATTCATATTAATAATTTTCTGAATTATTTATTAATAAAATTCTTAATTACAACTTTATCCTTGTATAAATTACTTAAAATGTTCGACCAAAAAAAAAATACTTAAAATGACTGACAAAAGAAATTGGCAACCCCAAAAACTTTTTTCACAGTTAAAAAACCTAAAAATAAAAGCTAAGGAAATGTATTTTTATGATGATGAGTTTGAGTGAGAAGCTAAAACTCAACAAGGATGCCCTTATTGGTCTGTTGATGAGTAATAAAGGGTCTATCCCTCGGGTTGCAGAAGTCTCGGAACACTAGAAGAAGAAGATTGTTGAGTATTTTTCTTTCTGAGGCCTATGATCTTCTTGTTCAAATGTTTCCTCGTTCCTAGAGTTGAAAGTTCAGACTCCCACTTCCATAATGCAGATGACACCAATAAGTCTCTGTAATACCTCACACAAAGTTGTTTCTGTGCTTCTTGTTGCAAAGCTCCAACGTATCACTCGTAATATTTTCCCTGGAATAGATGCATATGGAGACCAACATGAAAATACACCCAAAAAAAATAAGGTTTTGAACATTTGATTAACTCAAAAATGGTGTAGGATAAAGAGGTAGCAGAAGAAAATCACAATTGCCATTCAAATGCTGATGGATGGTAGTTCAAAAGTCAAAACAAAAACCCCTGAAGTTTTATATACACAACCCTCTTAAATCACTCAAAGCTCCACACTTTCTAAACTCAACTCTCTCTAGACTTTAAAACCTTATCATTTCTACACTTGAAATTTTACACCCAAAAAAAAAATTGAGAGTAACAATTAAAATAAGCACATAACAACCTTAAATATTTGACACAAATTGACCAGAATATGTTTCCTTTTTCGGCATTCTTTCCAGACAGATGATGAAAATTGCGGTTGAAACCTCTGTAAGGCTAGGTGATCCTGAAAATGAAATCACTTCAATCAAAGCTTCGTCCAAGTTTCCATTCTGTTGCTGTCGCTGCATTGTGCTCACGTTTGATTGGTGATCACCACATCCAAATTCATGGCTCATCTTCCGCAAGCTGCACATTGTATCCATGCTTTAGGTCTGTAACAAGTCAAGGTTTCCATGTAAAATGTTTAGACATTCAAAGATCCAATATGCCGCATTAAAATACAAGATGGTTTTGCACATGTTAACTAAAGCTTAAGAAGGAAAATATAAAAGGTTGACAAAAGAGTATATGACAGTCACAATAGGGAGTCAAGATCAGCTAACAATGGAAAGTTGAAAACAACTCAATACCATCAGGAATTGACTGAACTTTATGACTCCAAGGTGAACTCTCTCACAGCGTAAAATTTTAAGTAACAGGTTTAAGTTTGACCAATTAATGGATATGGAAATACAAATTCTGATAAGTTTACAACTATTTATACATAATATTCTATCATGACATAATCTCAAAGACTAAACTTTATCAAATATCTATCCAGTATTACATAGATATGAACAAACTATTATCAACTAGAACTACTCGCAAGTTCCCATTCACCTACAAGCAAGATTACAAGAAATTTGTCCTCCTTCGATTTTCTTTAATCTAAGAGAGAAATCATGATTTACTTGTACTTCAGAAATAATATGAAAAAATTGAGGTTCCTACTGTTAGACAACCTGTAGCTCCAAAAGCTTAAGCTGTCAAAGAATGGGCCAACAATATATATCAAGCTCACAACTACAAGATCCAAAAGTATAGATAGATAGAGATATACATATCCCCTCAATAGAAGGGGACTATATATACAGAGAGAGAGAGAGAGAGAGAGAGAGAGAGAGAGGGACAATTCACAGGAGAAATTGGAGAGAGAATTAAGCCCTGGCTTTTATCTCCTCACAAGATCAGCAAGAGAGGTAGAATGAGGGAGAGAATGTGTGTGTGTATGCTGACCCCTTGTGGACATAAGTTTGTGTGTGTGCGTGTGGCATAGTACAGCTTAATTATTTTTCTTCTTTATTTTCAAAGGGGGGCTTCGTGGTAAAATCAATGTGGGTATGAGTTGGATACGATATACACATGTATAGTTTACTAACCAATTTGGCTGGCCAATTACACCATCTACACAAAAATCACTGAATGCGTAAAGGAAGCTTCATTGAAGAGATGGTCTAGGCACTAGAAGGGATAAAGCAAGAATGCAACTCATATATTACCAGGACCAGGGAAATGAAGGAACTAATAAAATAAAGGGGTTAGGCGGTGGAATATTTACTCCAACGTGATGATTGTATTCCACCAATACTATACAAAAACAGATTAAATGTTTTATACCAAGTATTGAATATGTTTAATGATACCTTTCATTGAAGACTTATCATATTTCTCTTTCCTCTCATCATCATTCTTCCATTTACTATCATCATCATTCTTCCATTCACTATCATCATCATCCTCATCATCATCATCATCATTGCCCATTTCATCTCTTCCATCATTTCCTATATCGCTCTCACTTGCTGTCTCCCATTCGGAATCATCGGTCTCTCGGCCATAGATGTCACCAGCATCACCCTCACAGTGGACACCCCCATGTTTGATAGCTGCCTCTCTAAATAACCAAGCTGCACGCATCTGCTTTTTAACCAATCGTTCCGCATAGTCAGGAACTTTATTTTGCCTCAATGAGAGATCAGGATCATTTGACTGAGAGCACTCGTTTATGAACAGAATGGCATCTAACAAACTCTCTTTTGCAAGCCCAAGCATGTCATAAGCCTGTGCTCTTCTCCAAAGACTTTTGGCATGACGGTTCAGTGGGTTGTGAAGACAAAGTGCACGAGTAGCATCACTAATAGCTGCCAAGGGCTGTTGCAACAGAAGATGACACTGTGCTCGATTACTGTAAAGAACAACTCTCTCCTTTTTGGATCTCATTGGACACAATGCCAACGCTTCTGAGTACTTTGATGCAGCTCCAGATATATTTCCTGATGAAAATAATGAATTTCCTTCGAGCTTGACCACTAGAGCTGCTGCCTGTTTAATATGGAGATCCTCTTTAGGCATATTCTTTTCCCATTTCAATCTCTGTCTGGAATTCAACAGTTCCTCAATCAATTCCTTCGTTCTGTTACTGAAAGAGTTGCGTCCTGTCCCTTGTGACTGGACACATTCCTCAAGAACATTAACAATGGAATCTCCAAGCTTCTTATGATCACCCAGAGTTGTAATCTCCGCAAGGTCAACAAGTGCAGGTACAGCCTTATCAATCACCTATATAATGGTTCCAGTAGCATTAGGTATGTTATACATTATGATGTCATACCAGATATACATGCTACAATAATAGGTTAGTTTATGAAGTGAAGTATTCTGAACTCGTGCATACAAAATGTAATAGGGCAATATTTACAAAGTCTTTTCAAAGAAGATGATCATAATTACTCAAATTGGAGAGAAACTCAGTGGACATCTCTTCCACCAATGAGATTTACAAAAACTTAAACAGGACAATGCAGATCTACATAAATTCCGCTCCGAACCGGGTGGTAATATATATGATGCATCAAAGCATTCGTGAAGGAAAAAAAAAAACACTTGATATGATATGACAAATAAAACAGTTAAATTACTGGATAACATTAAGGAATATCAATCAGAGAAGTTGGATTTTCCATTACAAAAAGGGCTCATCAAAGGCATACCAGTATCATGACGTGCATGTAATAAGAAAACTAAAAGAAACAGTAGTGTATGCACTATGCAGGACCAGATGAAGAACCACTAATGTGGAAGATACCTTATGACATGTACTAGGGTCTTGAAGCAACCAAAGAAGACAATCAATAGTCATATACTGCCAATCATCTGATGACCGAGCAATATTACACAATGATTCGATAATACCAGGACAGCTAGCAACAGGTCCTCTACCCAACTTATGATGGCAGACTGTTCTTAATAAACCAATACCAGCTGGTGAGTTTTCATTAACAAGCCCACCCCACATGCCAGGTAGTTTTGTTAAGAATTCAGGCTTGCATATGGTAGGAAGAAACTCCGGTTTAAAGGCAAAGCAGTTAATAAGCTGGAGGGACCAGCATTGTAACTGACTTGCCCATTCTTCTGCCTTTCTGGACTCCATTTCAACACCTCCCATACCGCGGGTGAGCAGATCACAATGATAGCTTAACCTTCTGTCAACATACTGGTAAAAATGAGAATAAACGATTTCTAGTGAGCTCATTGCTAGTTGAATGGAAAGCTCAAGTATTTCACCATGACTTGCTACAGCAGGAAAAGTGCTGGCATAGGTAGCCAAGTGCCCTAAAGCTCGAACTGCAACTCTCTGTTCAACCCAAGTTAACCTTCCTCTCAAAAGTTCAACTAAAGGAGGGATTACCCCAGCATGCACAGCACTTTCTGCAAATTCTTCCATGTTCATGGTGTATGACCCAATAATATGGGCTGCATAATAAGGAATGTATATATTCTGGTCATGAGAAAGCCAGCGACGATTCTTTAGACCCTTCCATATTAGTGCAGCCATACATTCAAAGATGCCAAGCTCGATGAACTCAGGATCATTTGGATGTGCCATGGCAGTGTTCCAAAGGCCACTGATAGGGAGAACTTGTCCATCGTCATCCTGTGCAGGAAGCTCTCTAAAGAATTTCAGAATGCTTGCTCTTCGCTTGCTTGGATTCCCTTCCTTCATGACACAAAAGAAGCATCCTGGGTATGGACAGTCAGAAGACACTTTATCCATGTTTGGATTACAACTTAATATCATACAAAGCAGGGCAGGTCAACCCTTCATCTCTTAGCTGAATCAAATTAACTACACGAACAGAGAACATAATTAACATGTTAGCTTGGCATCGATCGGAAAACATATAGCAAGCATAATATTAAATCATAAAATAATTACTGCAGCAGCGAGGAGAGGTTATGTCAGTCAAATAACTCACTTGTTCAGGTTGGTGCATTTTAAGTCTTCGTTAAACATGACCAAACTATCTGAAACAACTTTTCCTCATCTCATTTCAATTGGAATAGTATCTCGATTCCTAATTCCTAAGTCTATCTTTCTCCATATTGTTGTTCATTAAAATTTGCATCTTGGTTAAACTTTTCCAAACCATTTACCACCCCACATTTAATTCTAAACCCTAAAGCATAACCACAAGACTATCGCACTTCAACTCCAAGGAATTCCACTGTACCATTAACCATTCCACTCACTCTTCTGTTCCACCCATCCTGTTAACCATTCACCGCCCTTATTCTTATTAACTCACAATACCAAGCCAGCAAAAAAAAAAAAATATATATATATATATATATAATAAAATAAAATCCAACAACAATCTGAGATGGCAAAAGCAATCAATCTTTAGCAATGAGTAGTGAGTATTGATTCTGAGAACACCCTGGTCACATTTCTCAATGTTTCCAACCTGACATTTAAATATTTGATATATACTCAGTCTTGATCCTACTAAACCTAAAACCCCTTAGCCCTGTAGGCCTCTCTGAAAACCAATAATTAACATACTACTAAAGCCTATATAGCCTTTGCTTGTTGTACTTGAAAAGTAAATGTAAACCACTTTATGCCTTGTTAAAGTAATGAATTTCGAAGTCCAAATTCAGAATCAAGTTACAGAGTGACAATTCCAGCACAAACAATCAGCAAAGGTACAGCCTTTTGGTAAACAAATAGATCTAAAACGAAAAACAAATGGCAATTTCAAATTGTTTAATGAGATCCCAACTCTAGAAATGCCCCAATCATAAGGAAAACAACATACGGAAGCAAAAACAAAGGAGGAGGAGGAAAATAGATACCTCTGAGAAAACCTGTTCGGTAGAGATGAGTGAACACCTTAAAAATGAAGTAGTGATCCTGAGCTACAATGAGAAAATGGGTAAGAAAAAGAATCCCAAAATGATCTTTGGGTTTCGAAAAAGCCGATTGCTTTTGCTCTTCTTTTTCTACTTCCGCTGTAGGCTAGCCGAAACACGAAGAGAAGAAGAAGAAGAAAGGGAGAGAGAGTGGAGAAGAGTGGAGCTGGGAAATGAAAACGACGCTGTTTTGGAAAGGGGTTTTGATTCGGACAGCGAAGAAGACTGATTGCACTGTTTCAAACTTCTACTCCATTAATAAATCCAATTCACCCGAAAATATTTTGACTTCCAAATTGAAATGGAATGAAAACGTATCGGCTTCGACCACGCGCGCTGTTTGTGGAGGGTAGGGCCAGTTGAGAGGCTTTAGAAAGAGCGCGTGAAGATGGCAACCACATTTCGCTCGAGTGTTAATAGTGCGGCAAGAAGACAGAAGTGGAGGCAAAAGACTGAAAGAGTAACAGAGTAAACGTGGAGGTGGGACGGTACATTAGATTTTTGCTTTCATTTTATTTGGTGGGGTGTGCTGCTGGTCCCATCTCCTTCCACGCCTGTCCTTTTTGCCATTGTTTTTTTTCATTCTTAAGGATTCAAACATTGACGACACCCGAATTTATCAAAATACATGTATCATGTTTACTTATCTAGAATGGAAGAAGTCGTATGAATGATGAAAGTTAAAAAGGGTAATTAAGAAATGAGAATGGGATCAAATACTCTCTAGTTAATCTTATTCCTGATTTTGAGGATATTTAATTATGGATTTTAACATAAAACTCACATAAGTTTTAATTTCATATGCGTTTGCATACGCATGAGAAGTAAGGAATCGAAATCATTTCAAGACCCATGTTAACGTAAACATATGAGAAGCAGGAATTAGAACCATTCTAATACATATTCATAATAAGTAAACAAGTGTGAGAGTGTGATTGTATTAGGGTGGGCAAAAAGTGCACTATATAACTCTGGAATTGCACATCCCACCAACCTCAACAATGTGTTGTTTTTTTATCGACACAAAACTTACGAATGTCGATTCATTGGGAAATTGGTTCGGTTTGTTCAGTTTGGACGAGCAGTGACGACAGAGAAATGAGGCAGAGAGGAGAGCAAGCAAGATTCGATTAAATTAGGAGTCTCCTCTCCAATTCTAACACACAGAGAGAGAGAGAAAGAGGAAGAAGAATACGAGAAGGCCAATCGACAGAGAAACATGAAGATAAGGCGTAGAGTATGAGAGAGATACGGTGGGATGTTATAGTGTTGAAGGTGTATGGTTTGTGATCTAGGAATGCAAATAGGGAGATGCAACGTTGAGAAGGTAGGTTTTTTTGGAAAAAAGTGAGGTGTGGTTCGGTTCAATTATACCACTGAATTTGAATCGAAATTGAACCGATTTATAGACATATTTAAAACAAAAAATCACACTAAATCAAATCAGCCAATTCAATTCTATGAGTTTTCTCAATTTATCAGTCTCAGCGCCGAGCTCTAATCTAAACCATCAAATTTAACTGTCATATGTTTCTTAAAATTTCTTAATGTTTTACTATAATAAGTTTTTCAACTATTAATTTACGATAAAATGTTCCATTTGATGTGTACACACACCCACACACAAAATGTGTTGGGGAAATTACAATCAAGAAAGTTTTGAAAAACTTATTTTCTCTTCCAAGAAGCGCTTAGATATATAATTAGGTTAAAGCACATATATCTCACTCTCTTTAAGGAGATTCAAGCTCATTGCGGTTTGGCAAAGACCAAGAACTGGTGTGTCAGTATATGGAAAAGATTAGGCAAAGATTCTCAATGGTGATTTTAGTTGTAAGAGCATCTCCAACCGATATGTCAAACGTGCCACATAGACATTTAACAGTTAAAAATGACATCTCACATCACTCCAACTGATATGTCAAAGCTGATGTGGAATGAAGGCTAGAGGTTGAGATGTTATTTTTGACACCCCAAAAGCAAGATGTCAAATGAATATTTTATTATTTTTTCTTTTCTTTTCTTTTTAATTAAAAATGAATCAACACTAAAATGTAATAAAATAATAATTTAATTTGACATATTGGGTGGAGTGTAGAGCTTTGTAAGATGTCAAAATGCCACATCAGCCATCAAATTTAAATTTGATATTTGGTATTTGACATCTCATTTGGAGATGCTCTAAGGTGAAGATGGTCTTACCATTACAACACCGAGCAACAACACGGTTACATCAAATGAATAACATAATTTAACACGCCCCGTCCTTTATTTAGAGTCTTCTACGAAGGAACTGCTCATCGAGATGTGTTGACCGATTTGATTGGAATTAAATTACTCCATCTTAGGAAAAGCAATAATGATGAAAGATAGAACACGTGATGCATAACTTTACAATTTTTGGTGTAAGACTCCTTTATGTTCACGAGAGCGGGCATTTATAAAATTCAGATAATTGGCCAGCAAAGTAACCTAGGTCTGCATAAGTTAACTTCCTATTCAGAATTGATTACTTCACAAGATAAAACTTTTCTTATGCTCCAAAACATCCAATTTTCCTTCTCTCATACAAATCTTGAAAGAAAAAAAAAAATTAGACAAATTGAAAACCATTTCGATATCAAGTTGTGACCAAAAAAACAAAAAACACGGTGCTTTTACTGAAGTTGCCAATGGGATCTAGCCCAGTGAAAAATGCAAAATATGGGTCTCCAGTTGGAATCACCACGGCATTATAGTTATGTGTGTGTGAGAATTCTCCCCTGTAATTTAGACTATCACTTGTACTAAAAAAAAACACTTAAGTTACAACAATTAATCGAGTTGTCAAATATTCAAAGTCAAGTGATTTTTTACATAAATAATTTTTGAAGAAATATCTAAAAAATAAATAGTTTGAATTTTTGAAATACAATGTGGATTGAGTCCACGAAGCTGTCCCTCCCTCAACTAAAGCTTTACGTTTAATGATTGCAGCAAAAAACCAAATCTCAAATACTCCAAATCTCCATTAATTCAACTGTGTCTAATGGAGATTTGGAGTTATCCTCATGATTATCACCCAGGCACTGGGCTGAAGAAAGATTTGGGCCAAACTAAAAACCTCAGTGAATGGGCTTTTCATATTCCACCTTTGTCCTTTAAGACTAGTCAACAATCTTAAAAACCTTTTTTTTCCCAAAAATAGCATATAAGAACATGCACAATAAGCTCTCTAAAATGCATCTTTAGACAAATTTTAGGGAGAAATTGAAAAAATACAACTCCAACCATGTTCCTTATCCATCTCCAAAAATATGGAGATTTCTAGGAGCTCCTAAATTTGAGGAGAGATTTCAAACTTTTAATTAATGCTAACTATTTTTTATATTATTTTTTAATAGAGATTGACCAATTAAAAAAGAGTTATAGCATTTATGACTCCCTAAACTAGAGAGCATAATTGGAGTTTAAATTTTATAGAGAGCTCCTAAAATGGGTGCATTTTTGCTCACCACTTTAACCTTAGGTGTATCCTCACCACCCCTGCCAAAAGTTGACACATGTCCATTGGTTTAACTATAGTTAATTCTTTATTTTTTATTTATTTGATAACATTACTATGAGAGAGAAACAATACTTCAATAAGATTTTTCCTGATTTACCCTTATTAACCTAGCAAACTTTCCACCTTTCTAAATTAATTAACAACTACCCAAATAAATAATTGGCAACTGGCTTTATATCCCGTGCTTTAATATGAATATCAATTCACAGGCTTCAATACTTTGAAGAACACACCCAGATACTTTGAATCTCAATTGGCTTTAGTTAACTCTTTTTATACACGCCCAAAAGTTACACTGTTCTTCAATATATTATTACGTTGCAATTTCTCAATATCCTTGAACCTGTTTTCTTTCTTCAACCGATGAGTTAATTATGATGTTGCAAGTTTTGGACTAATTAATTCTGGTTTTATTATTCTAAATAAAGCTTACTCCATAGGAGCAAAATATATTGGAGTTGCAGAAATTCCAAAAACGATGAAGGAACCAAGCTCTGCAATAATACCCTTCATTGTCTCATTACTCTGGCTCTGCAGTATGGTTCATTCTATCATTCCTTTCTGTGCTAGTCTTGATCCACCAGACATACCAACATCATGGACTAAAAAAACTAAATAACGCAGAGCAATCACGAAAGTATAAAAAATAATCAAGCAATACAAAGTACTATAAAAAAAAAAAAAAAAAGCAGGATAGATTATTACCTATCTTTCACTGAACAAATGGAGGAAGCTTGCAATTGAAGATCAGCATAGATTATTATTTGGGGAGTTGTTAATTAATTTTAAAAAAGTGGAAAGTTTGCTAGGTTAATAAGGGTAAATCAGGAAAAATCTTATTGAAGTATTGTTTCTCTCTCATAATAATGTTATCAAATAAATAAAAAATAAGAATTAACTATAGTTAAACTCATGGACATGTGTCAACTTTTGGGAGGGGTGGTGAGGGTACACCTAGGGTTAAGGTGGTGAGCAAAAATGCACCCTCCTAAAATAACTTTTACATGTTTTTAGCAAAAATTCAACCTAAAAAATAAAGAGCATGATTGTGGATGCTCTAAACTTGTTACCCAAATAGTGACAGGAAATATAAAAACAATGGATGCTAGCTCTCAACAAACAATCTCTTAATTATATGCATTTAAAGTCAACGGGGTTTAGCCCAATGAAAAAGAGCTTTAATTTGCAGATTATAAGTCTCATATTCAAATTCTCACAGCATCATAATTGTGTGTGTGTGTGAGAAAAATCTCTCTCCTTTATAATTTAAACTATCGATTATACTATTTGGCCTTGAATGATATCATGTTGTGCTTCTGATGATAACAAACAAACAAACAAAAAGTATGTGACAAATGAAATAAATAAAAGGGCTCTTAGGAAGGTGCAAGGTGAAAATGACCAGGAGCTTTTGCCACATGATGTCAATGGAATTTAGGTATGTGGTGGAAAATAGTAGTTGGCAGGCAGTCGCTAGCTTTCAAATACTCCAAATCTCCATCAATTGAATTTCAGGCAACTCCACCCTTGACTTGACGAGGATACAACGGAGACTTATTACCTATAAATGTACAGGACAAAATATTAGGATAAAATTACAGCAGCAAAAATGTCGGTTGTCCACTAGGCCATGCAGCCACCGACACCTACCTCAATCCAGTCGGTGCAGGAATTCAT